ATCCAAAAACCCCAACCTTGTTGCCATAACAGAAAGAAGAAAACAAACACCAAACACCAAAAGGGAACAAAAGGAATACACTAAGTTGCTGAATTCCTGTAAGTCATGTCCAAAATCTTCTAGAACATAGAGAAGAGAAGCACAATTTAGCACTAATCAACTAGATATCCAGACCACATGTGGAACATGCTCATGAGGAAAGACTAGGCTTTGGAATAAAGACCTTAAAAGGAAAAGTGGACATCTCAGCATGGAGGAGGGCTGGACCCAGAGAGGGCCAGGGTGCAGGGAGTCCTGACCAGCAGAGACTGTTCCTGGAACAGCACCCACAGAGGTGGCCACTGGTCCTTCACTGGGAGGAGGGAGGAAATGAAAGTCTATTTAACATTTCTATGGCTCATTCTTATTGAGTACACTGAATCATCTGCTTTTTTTGTTTTCATGAAGTTCTACTTAGATGAACTGCTGCAGATGTAGCGGTTGACCTTGCCTGACAGTGAGGAACCTGGTGCCAAAGACATTAAACATCAGGTTAAAATCCCCCTTAAAGAATTTGGCCTTTGCGAAGATGACCTCTGCTTGAGTGTTCTGTTATATAAGTACACTGTATTGCTTTCCAAACACTGTGACTCACTCTTGAGTGTTCCTCTGGAGCTAATGAAGGCAATATTAGCTTTAGAGGGATATGAATTAATTATGACTCTGGCCCTTTGAATAAACCTTTAAGAAGATGCTGAGTCACGAAGAATGTCTTTTGGACCTGAGTATTCCCTCTGGACATGAAGTTCCCATGTTTATAGGAAAATTTGGCCCATTAAATATTATAATGGGGGAGGGTAAAGATTCCTTGGATGATTTGATTTAAAACTATGCACATAGAAAATTCCCAAAGTCATAGGAACAATCAGTATGATGGTTAAAGAGTGATCAATCTCCATTATATTATCATTAAGGACATTCGGCATTTTGCTATTTATTAATTTGAGGTGATTTTATTTATTTAATTTGAGAATGTTGACATTTAAAGCTCATATTCTCAGCTTTAGCTATTTTGGTTACAGTGAGAAAATGGAATTTAGTGTTGAGCCAAAATGCCTGATGAGTTGTATCTTTACTATTTTTCTTAGTCCTCAGAGTGACAGGGTCATTTCAACTCTCTTGGCTCCTCCAGGTTCCTCAAATTCTAATATTAAAACCAAGGTCTTTTGAAACTATGTAGTGATCAAGAGGAACTTCCAATTTTAACTCTTAACTGTGTCTCAGCTTCTTGTACTTTGTTGAGCAAGTGTGTCTTTTTGACCTTGAGATAATTCTTTCCTGAAAGTCTTACTTGACCCAGGAAACAACTTAAATCCCTATAAAGTATCCTTCCAGAAGGGATGAGGGATGTGCGAGGAAACATGGGGCTTTATTATAGAAGGTAGAAAATGAATTCACAAGTTTACCCTCTTTTGCAATCATTCATTTATACCTCCCATGTTGGTTATATTTCTAAGTCACATACAACAAGTACCATGCCCTCACACCACACCGTGTAATACTCTATCTCATTTCCTCTCTGTCTCCCAATTTTAAGTATCCCTGCAGGCATTTGTGTGCATTCTCTTATGACCCTGCTCCTCCAGGGTAACTCACCCAAAAGGCTCTTGGACCCCTTTGTGAATGAAATGCACCCACTGCCATCCTGACCTCCTGGTCCACCAGAGCCCTTGTCACCATTTGACGTGTTATGTGTATATTTATTTGCTTTCTCCACCTCCTTTTCCAGTCCTGCACTCAAGCACCCAGCCGCACTGGGATATTTGATTTCTTTTGTTTTTCTGTTAGTATTTTCCTTGTTTGTTTTTAAGCCACTTTGTTGAGGTCTGAGTGATGTGTAAAAAGTTGTACATATGTAATGTATACACCTTGATGGGCTTAGGGAAACATATACACCCATTTTTGTTGCCTTTTAAGGCACACCTTGAAAACTGCTTGCGCTGAGGTGCATGAACAACAGCACAAAAGCAGGAGTCTGGATGTTCACTCCCCCCACAGACCCTCTGCAGCAGTGGGTTTATTGACTTTTGAATGTCATCGACCAGTAACATTTTCAAAATCTGGGGAATGACAGAGGTAGGTACTTTTAATGTGGCATAGATTATGAAAGCAAACAAAGCAATCTATTATCTCACATTACTGTAACTTCATAAAAGGGTTTTAAAGTTGGTGCCAAGAAATGATCGCATTCCCAGAACTGGGTAGAGTGAGTGTGAGTGTGTGCGTGTGGGCACACACTGTCTAAGCAAACTAGCGCTCCTTTGGAGTACCACTGATACTGTGTGAATTGTCTCACGATTATTCCTGGCTGGGCATATTTCGTCCCTGGCTGTGGCACCCTAGGAACCTCACTGGCTATAGGGGTGTAGCGGGAGGATCTGGGTCTTGCTTTCACAGGCAGTCGAGGCAGAGGTAGAATGAACATCACAGCTGAGTGTGGGGCTAGCCCGAGAGCCCCATCTGTCCCCAGGAGGCTGGCGCTGTCCGGAAGGAGGGAGAATCTCACAGCAGGTGGAGGTGGGGCAGGGGCGTGGTGGAGGGAGAGCAAGCCTGTGAGCAAAGACAGAGGCCAGGAAGAACTGGGTGCCTGTAGCATTTCTTCCAGAATACTTTCACAAACCACCTCTGTCTAGGGCAAAGCAGCAAGCAGGCCAGGCCTTGTCAGCACTTGCCACCCCAGGAGGGCCCGCCTGGGTCCCAGGCAGGCACACCTGGATCTTTGCACACACACTGTCCCACCTGCTCTCTCTCCTCCTGTTTGTGTAGTTACTCGATACCCATTTATTGAGCACCTCCTGTGTGCAACCCTCTCTGGGTCTACCAGATGGACTATTGTCTGGGTTCTCAGCCCTCCTTTTATTCACTGTTTTTATTTTCTTCTCCCTGTATCAGAAATCATTGCCATTGCAAAGTTATTTAGCTAAGATATCTAAGTTTTCTAACTGGTATTTTAGTCACAGAACCAGGACCAGGCTCAAGGAGTATTTTATAGAGCCTTTTATACTAGATGATTCCTGATTAATATCAGAGTCAGCAGTTTGTCCCAACTTCCTTGGTGCCAACTTAGGGTATTAGGATAGCGTGGAGCAGCCTGTGCTGAAAAGCCTTCCTTTTCTGGGTTGAATCAATTTTTGGGTTAAGTTCCCCTTAAACCAACAGGCTTATCATGTGTCTTTGCCCACTGACTTACAGAGACTTTATAACTTCCAGTTGCCACAGGTAAGGCCTTATGTTTTTAAGGTACTTTTTAAGCAACAACAAGAAAGGTTTTCATCTAAAAATATTTTAGACACAATTTTATATAAAAATTGAGGAGTTTAACAATCAACACAGCATGAGAAATGTCAAGGACTCTAATTCAAATGACAGAATTACACAGTAAAAGAAAGGATAACAAAGCATTAGGAGTCTTCATGTTGTTAAAGTCAAGCAAGGGAAAGGTTTTAAGTGGTGAGAGCTTTTCCTCTGCATGTGAGTGAGCAGAGGAGACACTCTCTGGTTGGCAGAGGCTTTCTGGGGAACACAGTCTGCTCTTGCAGCCCAGACCAGTGCCCTCGTGGGGAAACTGGGCCCTGACGCCTTTACCACTTTTCCAGGCCTGTCGCAAGGAGGAATTTTCCCTGATGGAAATGAAACTTTGCCCTCTGTTTGTATCAGTAACTGTCTTCCCAGGAAGGGTGACATGGAGATGTGTGGGTGACTGAGAAGTTTCTTTCTTTGAGGACGTGTATCTGCACTGAAGTTGAGTCATAACAGATGTGTTATTGTGTAAATTGTGCTATTTATCAGAAATGAAAACTAGAATATGAGGATATAATCACAAATAAGGATGTAGTATGGTTTTGAAAATAGTAAAATTATCCATTTATTCTCTTAAACTCTCACAGCAAATCCTAAATACCCATAAAGCATTGCTTTTCCTTGAAATATTTGTAAATGCCAGAATATCAGTAAATATCAGTAATCATAAGAGCTAACTACCATTGGGGTCCCATCATGTGCAGGTACACAGTACAAACTTAGCATGTCGATTTTCATGACAACCTGATACAACAGGTCATACTAATTTCCTCATTTTGCAGAAGAAATCATGGCCCAGAAAGGTAAGTAACAGTCCCCATGGTTGCACAGCTATTCACAGAAACTCCGATCTGGCCCTTGAGTTGGAGATGTCAACCACAGCAGGGTAATGTCCTCAGGTGGGAATGTACCTCCAGGAGGTATGTGAGCAAACCACAGACTCCCTGTGATACTGCAGGGGCCCTGCATCACCGCGATGCCATCTACAGCCTCCAGAAGCCCACAGTGGCTCCCTGACTGCTTTATTAGAGGTTCCTACCAGGCTCACTGAAGGCATTGGCAGGTCCAGTTTGTTACTAGCGGTGAGCGTATTAGTTTCCTACGGCTGCTGAAACAAATGACCACAAACATTATAGTTTAAAACAACAAAAAATTGTGTCCTGCTGTTCTGGGGGTCAGAAGTCCAACATGGGTCTTCCTGGGCTACAACAGGCAGCAGGGGGCTGGATCCTCCCGAGGCTCCAGGGGAGCCTGCTTTTCTCTCTTTTCCAGCTTCCAGAAGCACCTGCTTTCCTTGGCTCATGGGCCTGTCTAGCTCAAAGCCAGGAGTATAGCCTTTTCCCTCCCCTCTGACCTTTGTTCTCAAAGGACCGTTGTGTTCACACTGACTGGACCACCCCAATAATCTGGGATTAACTCCCATCTCAAGATCTCTAGTATTATCACACTCATACAATCCTTTATGCCACTAGATCACATTTTCACAGGTTCCAGGGATTAGGGTGTGGACATCTTCAGGGGGCACATTACTCACAGTAAGGTTTGCAGAGAGCTGAGGCATACAGAATACACAAGACTGCAGGATGGTTGTCTACACCAGATTTCCATGTTTTCTTTTGCTTTAAGTTGTAGATTTTGTTTTCATTTCCCTCCCCTTTTAGGGCAGCCAATGCGAGAAGGAAAGAAATACGTTTACAGTGTTGAAAAAGTAAATGTTTCAGTGGGATATGCAGTCCAAACTTGTCCAGCTGACGACGAGGCCAGTTATGGCATGTATTTCCCTCTGTGCCAGCCCTGCTGTGACACGTGTGGTGGCGGGAGCACCCTCCCCCATCCCCGTGCCCTTCCCCGCCTGCCCCTCCCCACCTTCACACATCACAATAACACTCCTCAGGTTCAAAGGTGGAGGAGGGTCCCTGCCTAGTATTGCCAAGAGCACTACCCCCAGCCCAGACTCTGGGGTCACCCAATTCCTATTGTTCTCACACAGCGTCTCTAGTGCCAGGAGCTGAATCCAAGTCCTTTCACTATCCTGGAATGAGGCCAGCATTGTGTCCTTTCCCTTTTTAATTCAACCTTCCAGAGTTCATGGAAAATCACCCTGGAGGAAAGGAGGGAAGGGGGCTCACGGGCTGGGAAACCATGTTAGGCCACACTCTTAACGATGGTGTTTGGTGGTTTCCCACTCTGCATCTTTCTCTCCTTTCAAATGCACTTCTGCTAAGAAAATCAGAGGCCATGGGTACAAGGAATAAATGAAAATGGCTCAATGTATTTGTGGGATGTGTGTGTGTGTTCTTTTTATATTCCATTTTCCCCTCCTTGTGTGTGATTTTTCTCATGGGACTACTCTAGGCAGTGGAGATAGTTCATTTCATGTGCCAGCTTGGCTGAGCCATGGTGCCCAGATATGTGGTCAAACATTATTCTGGACATTTCTTTGAAGGTCTTTTTGAATGAGTTTGACATTTAAATTGGCGGTAATCAATCCTCCCTAAGGTGGGTGGGCCTCATCCAATCAGCTGAAGGCCTGCACTGGACAAAGACGGACTCCTCCCAGAGCAAGAAGTGATTCTGCAGCAAATGGCCTTTGGGCCTAGCTGCAACTCTTCCCTGGGTCTCCAGCCAGCCTGCCTCCCCAGTCCTGTGGGGCATTTGCCAAGCCTCCACATTCACACAAGCCGATCCCTTAAAATAAATTTCTATATATTAAAGAAATATATATACATATCCTGTTGGTTCTGTTTCCCTGGAGAACCCATACAATGGCCTTTTCTCAAACATTTAACATACTTATGAAAATAAGACGGGTGGTTTTTAGTGGGTTGGGAGAGGGGGAATGACACGCAAAGAATCAGTACCAAGCACGTTGCTCAGATGCAACTTAACACCATGGAACCTGTACTTAGCTATGGGGCCTCGAGCATCCACCCTGCCGTTTATGGGCTATGTGAGCTTGTGCGGCTGCTCATGGAACCAGTCTCAACACAGCCCATGTGAGGAGGCCTGAGCATGCTTTTTAAGAGGTACAGTGTGACTGAAGTGAAGCACCATTATTAGGATAATTAGGGAAAAATCTGCCAGGCTTTGTTTTTGAACATGTGCTTCTGGAGGACTGGGAAAGGCAACTAGATAATGACATTGTTGCTATGTCATGATTTCATCGCGAAAAAGAGCATTTCTGGTCACAGAAAAGTTGTTTAATAAGTCCTCACCCACATGGAATTAAGTGTTAAAAGGACTGAGAGCTGAATTACTTCATTTGAACTTGCTTCAGGTTACAATTCTCTCTGGATACAAGTAAGTTTTCATAACTCACATCTGAGAGTTTTTTGGAGACATTTTAAATAAAAATCTTTTATGAGTAAATATTTGGAGTGTTATTAGGTTCTTGGTGTACACTGAGATTGACATCATTAACTTAACATAAAATAAAACCTGAGAAGGACCTGAATATATTTCTGCAAATATATATGAATGGCCAATTAACTCATGAAAAGATGCTCAGCATCACTAATCAGTAAGGAGATGCAAATCAAAACCACATGAGTTATTACTTCCACTAGGATGGCTAATATGACACACAAACAACCCCCAAAATAACAGGTGTTGTGAGGATGTGGAGAAACTGGCCACAAACTGGCCCCCTGTGCTCCACTGGTGGAAATGCAAATTGGTGCAGCTGTCATGGAAAACAGAATGAAGCTTCCTCAAAAAACTAAAAATAATATTACCAAATGATCCAGCAACCCCACTTCTGGGTATATACCCAAAATAATAGAAATGGATACCTGAACACCCATGTTCATAGCAGCACTATCCACAACAGCTAAAAACTGGAAGCAACCCAGTTGAATAAGTAAGATGTGGTCCATCCAGAATATGGAATATTATTCAGCCTTGAAGAAGGAAATTCTAACAAATGCAACAACATGGATAACCTTGAGGAGAGTCTGCTAAGTGAATAAGCCAGTGCCCGAAACACAAGTACTGTGCGATTCAACCTATATGAGGTCTCTGAGGAGTCAGAATCCTAGAGGCGGAAAGTGGCACTGTGGTCACCAGGGCCTGGGGAGGGGGCATGGAGTTAGAGTTTAATGGGAATGGAGTTTCAGGTTGGGAGGATGAGAAAGTTCTGGAGATGATGGTGGGTATGGTTACACAACGATGTGAATATACTTAATGCTCTTGAACTATACACTTGAGAACGGTTCAGATGGTAAACTTTGTGTTATGCATATTTTACCACAATAAAAAAAGGGAGATTAGCATTATTTATTTCAATCTTAGTCTTTCTGTCCTGTTCTGTATTTTTTTTTTAAGATGATGATGCCAACATCACACTTTCAGTTCCTGAAAGCAAGTGGTATTTCTCCAGAAATTGTTTGCACAAGACAATTTGCCACTTGTTAGATAATCATCTCTGCCAGTATTACACATATTTATGTGGAACACTTTCCAGGAAGTTTGAAGATCCTAGATCGAAGTTGTTTGTGGTCACTGAAAATAATTGGCTGACTTAGTGACATTTGCACAACTGTATGGTCTTAGGGATTTAAACAATGAGCTTTAGGACTGTATGTAGACCACACATGTTCCCAGACAGCAAAATACATAAAGTCTCTCTTTTCACTCTTATATGCCTGGTACTTGGTCCTTGGAAGAGTAAAATCAATATTTGTTAAATGAAATATTGAGTGTCCGTTCAAAGTCACTTCTGGGTGGGTTAATTTTGAAGATACATTAAAATCATTCTTTCAAAGATTTACTGCATGTTTGGGAAGCACAATTCTGGGACAAGGGTGACAAATCAGGCCTGGACCCTAAGTTAGTGTGACATTCAGTGTTGAGACACCCTGGGCAGAAACCCCCTCTCTGGAAGCAGGTGCAGTCATCTGGGACTCCTTGTGGAGAACAGCCTGGCTGGGACACAGAGTCCTGTAACTGGTCATTTTGGCCCACTCTTGGGGGTTGTGCTAAAGAGAGCTTTGTGATCTTCAGCTGAAACCCAGAGCTTGGGGGGCAGAGGCCCTTGTCTTTGACTTGTGCTGGGAAGGACCTTTTCTCTGGCAGCTGGGTAGAGGACAATGGGAAACTGCAGACTGCATCATGTGAATCCAGAAAAAGGATTCACAGCAAATGGAAATCCCAGTCCTGGCTGTGGACGGTGGAAAACTGATGGCTGATAGCCAGCATGGCTGCTCTGCAGAGTGTGGTCTGAGGTAGAGAGCAGAACATTAACTCTTCTAGAAAAGTGCACAAGGACCACTGTGACCCCAGAAGGTCACCAATTCCTTAGAAATTCAGACATACTCTGCAAAATGCAATACCTCACAGCTTCCTTCCCAAATTGGATGCATCTTTCTCTCACTGAATCCCCAGCTGGGAGAAGACAAGTGGAGCTTCTCTGGTTTGAGGCATATTTAACAGAAATAATCGTGCCCAGGCCAATGAGCTTGGTTCCTGGTATGGGAGGTGACTCAGGTGGCAGAATCATGTCCTTTCCAGCCCCTTTCAACTGTTGAGATCAGTACTTGGATGTGCCAGGTGGATGTGGAGGTGATGGGGACTGGTACTGGGCTGCTGCAGCAGACTTGCTAACTGAACACCCCAAAACCATCTCTCAGTGATGCCCTTCTTCCTGTTAGAACCTTACTTTTGCTCCAGTTTGAGGAGGAGTGTCTGAAGATAATTAGCCTCACTCCAGTCCCAAGGATTGAGCTATGATTAGTCAAAACCAACCATGCTAATTATGTTTCCCCTCGTTGGCAAATAACCCCATTCTGGTCATGATCTCTGTGGGAAGTCTACTGGGAAAGATTTTCTTCCATGAAGAAAGAGAAGAACATTTGGGAACTCTTTGTCTCTTTTTGTGCCAAAGGAAGGAGATATTGTTTGAGGATGTGATGTCTGGAGCTATGTTTGCCATTTTGTGACCATGAGCATTCAGAGAAACTGAGAATGCTGACATTGTGGAGCTGCGGAAGCCTGTCTGTGATGGCCCTGCCTCTGATCTTTCTGTTTCACAAAACAGGTCCTTGTTGTAGCCACATTCCCTCAGTCATTTTGTTACTTGCAACAAAACAAAAGCAAGTGCTGCCTAACTGGCGCAGTACCTAGAAGGTCACCATTTAAGTAGTAAACAAATCTCAGATTAATTTGATCAGAAGAGCCCAAATGTAAGTTCCAGAACAAAGTGTGGCTGCAATATCATTAGAGGGCCAATAGGCCCCAAAAGGTCCTTCAGAAGTGAGCACCCAATCAATTATTCAGTATTTGTCTACAAGGTACAGAACCGAATCAATGATTTCGTGGGGTCACTTTGATGGTTTGAATCCCTGCTCCTACTCTGCATGTTTACAGGTGAGACCTGCCCCTTGGCGACTCTTCTTTGAAGACCTAATCCTTTGCTAACACTTTTCAGCTGTGGAGAAAGTGGTGAGCGTGGAGATTCATGAGCATGAGTCAGACTCATGTCCCATGGTCGTATCTTCACGCCTTCCTTTGGTTTGAGAACCTGCTGTGTCCTTAACCTCAGCTCTGCTCTCTAGCCCATCTCTGTCTGAAGGGATCTAGGATTGCTGTAGAGACCAGGAAAAAAAACCACACCAGGGCCTGAGCTGACACTGAGCTGCAGAAGACCATGGCCGAGCAAGCGTGAGGCCAGGGAGGTTCCACAGAGAAGGTCCCTGCGGGACGGCGAGGATATGGGGAGAGAGGACTGGACAGGCAGCGGATTCAGATCCACTAGTTCCAGGGGAGGCGGGGAAAGGCAACAAAGACCCAGAAGTGATACTGGATTGTAGGAAACTAGTAACAGAATCTGGCTCACAAGAGTGCATGTTAACAGCTCTGACGATTATTACAATGAGCTAAATTCTCAGGGAAAATGATGTCATGATTTCTCTCATCCTCAGAAGCGTACCGCTCTGGATGAATCGTTCCCTTCTTTCCAAGATGTAAACTAGGAAGCAGCCCTCTCATTAGGAACAGAAGTCTGTTCCCTTCAAGTGGGTTGGGCCAAATAGTAAATCCTCTTTGCTTAAGATTACTGGACTGTTCCATGCACATGTAATTTCACAAAATGGGTCTATATTTTACTCTACATGGCAGCTCTCCATAAATACCTCTGAGTATGTTCCTACAAACTATAGAAGAGAAGGCTACCTTTAGACTGAATTGATGATAATGAGGACCAGTTTTGTGCAACATTCAGCTAATGACTAACATCTGATTTAAAAGAATTAATGATTAAGTGGC